CGGATTCTAAACCGAGTCGTGCAAGGCAATTGGTAACTTTGCCTCTCCGAGCCAAGCACAGTCGCGACAGCCAGTGAGCCACAGGATAGGTGTGATTTTAGTTATGGAAAATTTATCATTTATCTTTTATCTCGCTTTAAACAACATTGGGTGACTTAAGCACTTATTTGAGACTTGTTGAATACTTCTGAATCCTAATTATTCGGTAGATAGTAATGCGGTCGATTCTACTGGCAAGTACAGAATGCTTTTTTGGCAATATTCTCAGTATTAAAAAGTGAATTAAAAGAGGCCTAGCCTGCACCATGGTGCATTGTAAACAGCGGCTGCGACGAGGTAGCAATGTTTTCGGAGGAAATAGCCTTTGGGGAAGAAAATGCAAGTAAAATTCAATGACATTATTATATTTAAATAAAATCCTTGCACGAATTTAAACGATCCAGAGTTTCTTGAGTTCATATAAGTCCGTCTTTAGATGTACATTTGACATGTTATTATTGGAGAAGCTTCACTACCAAGTACGAAAGACGGGGTCAACTCTAAGCCTACCGTCCCTATAAAAAATCAGTTGAAACTACGATATGTTGTGCTTTAGAAAGAATAAAAGTATAGTGTATCTTTGTAATAGAAATACCCAAGCATGGTCTGTCGGCATATCTCAGTCTAGTGAGGACATGTCTTGTGTTGCCATGGGAACTGCACTTCGCAAATAACTCGTTGCTTTCTGTTGCCGTCATCCTCGATAATGCCAGTGTCTTCCATGCATCCCTCGTGTCCTCCCTAGTCTACCGATTTGCCTAAAAGAGTCATCCTATAATCGTATGTAAATTTGCTACCGAATTCCGGTTCTTGAGAGAGCGGCTTCATACTCCATACTGAGGAGCTGATTTAACACCATTATTGGATCGTAAAGCACGACAGGATTCAGAAACCCCGATCTGGACAAGAATTGCGCTGATATAAAAACAGTGAAATTGCTGATAAGATAGATCCACATGACATCTTTAAGATACAGCCATTACCGATTTCTCAATCTTCCCCAAGGATAGTCACTATTTTGTCACGAAAATATTATGTGAAATTAACCCCTACAATGATGGCCCAAGTCTTTAATAGAAAGGAATATGAAACTGCAAATACATAAATAAAAACAGCGCAATGCTGGTCTGATCACAAGGTTACTTATTTAAGATATAAAAATCGTCTAGATAGTATAAATTTATAATAGATCTGAATCCCCTATAAGTGGCATTGGTGTGATGGATGTGAATTCATGTCATAGCGACTGGGAATAAGATTTTTAGATTGATGAAACCAATAGATGATGGCGGATTCCCGTTGAGCCAGAATTACTTTAGTTTATGTTGTTTATGCGGCTATGTTTTTTCCGTTTTTGAGAAACAGGGCGGAGCTTTCATCTTCCTAGTGAAGTATAAGCGAAAACTCAACATGTTTCAACCGGAACCGGCATCAGAGGTCTCGTCGACTTTATCCATTTATGCGGGAAAAAGTTGGATTAATACAAATTTCCTTATTTCGAAGTGTCGAGCTCACGTCCATTTCGAGTAGAAGTGCACGATTAAGTGATTCGAAGGTCAATCTCAACAGAAGGTGACGGCTGATTCCCGTAGTTCTGCAGCCATTTTAATTTACTACAATGTTCAGGTTGACCCAGTCCACGACACATACTCTCGACTTTCGGGCGAAAACGGGTTGCCCTTTCGTCCATCATATGATGGACATCATCAGAGCAAGGTAACAATTTAACAAAACATACGAGTCACCGACTTATCCTCAAATGCTGCATATACACCCTAAATCTAGGCTCTTTATGAGGTATAAAGTGATTTGATTAGTTCAACGTACATGTCATCCTCGAAGCATGTGAGTGTGTCTGTCTGTGCGTGGTTTTGTGCTCTCCTGTGTCCGTATATGTAGGAACTAACAGTGATGACTCAAAGTAAACAAAACAGAAATGTGACGTCTGATTTGATGACCTTATGAATACAAAAATATATATATATATAAAAGCCACCACTCCGATTGTACAAAGGTGGGCACACATCTGGTAATATTAATGAGCGTTCTATTTTCATGTGGGAGAGAGTGTGAACTAAAAATTAGAGAAAAATGACCTTAATAAGGATAAAGATAAGAAATATTATTTGAGTCACCTCCTTTTTCGGGCAACTTGACACCCTGTCTCTCCTGAAGTCTACAACTTAAGCATGTCATAATTACTTAATTTCTCATAATTATTTCTTATATTCAATGCGTTGCATTATTGTTGTAATTCAATGGCCTCTTTAATCTTGCGTTAAGATATAAACATTGCAGAATCAGCAAAATGACAAGTTTGAGGCCCTTCGATCTCATGTTCAGTTTATTCCGTATACTCTGCTAGCTCTGATCTTTTAATTCTATAAGCGCTTTTGTGTCCGGATACACTTTACCGAATGGGATGGCAAGTCTTTCAAACATTACATTTACCATATAAATGCAATATTTTATAGTAAGCTGATCTAAATAATTAGTGAAATTTCTTTCTAAAAGTGGGCATAACCGAAGAAAGTGTCATAGTTTCCCTAAAAACCGTTTTAGCACGTTTTCACCGGAATCGAAAGAGATTGCTTCGAAATCAGCGTCAACATAAACTGTTTCAGTAAAAGCAATCGAGAGCTGGTCAAGAGGAATCTACCTTCGTCTTCTGGGGCGATCGTTCTTCGAGTCCCTTCACCAAACACTTTATCAACTTAAATGTCATAGCAAGATTAAATAAATGAAGAGCGACAGGAAGCAGCCCTCGTCTTTAGATGATATAGATTGGCAATGCTCTTTATTACACACACGTCCACAAGACGCGGAGGTGAGGAGATCCTTCGTTTATGCAGAATGAGAGAAAAATGTTCTAGAATGTTTCCAGGATCGTAAACACCTCGATTGTTGACAATTTCGGATAATTTCATTGCAGACCAAAGACCATCTTTTGACTCATGCTGGTATCACATGGTTATGAATCTTCTTAAACTACTATCCCTTGCAAAATATGTTAAAGGAAATTTTCATAAATCATATATTTCGTTTATAAGTAGGTTTTCGAGACTACTAGTAGATCAGGTGGTACGTGTATTCACAGGTGTAGGTAGGCTGAGGTGTATTCAGCCTATTTCGTCAAGGTGACGAAGGACTGATAGTTGAATATGACTAGGCTTTGCGGGACAATTCAAATACCAGTCCTTCTTCATCTTAAATAAAAATAGGGCGAATACGTAACACATATATCATCTGCTGGTAGCCTCGAAAACCTACTTATAAACGAAAAAATTACGTTTAATACCAGAAACGGCTTGATTTGTTGAAGAGACATGCAGTCCACTCTTGTCTGGAATAGATAACCTTTATGAAGCAAATTCATGTGAAACTCAATGGAAATATAAAGTCTACTCATTATATTGTGAAAAAAATTCAACTATCAATCCTTTATCGCCCTAAATGAAATAGGGTGAATACATTTCGTATAGAATAAATCATATCTAAACATTCATAGCGCCTGTAAATTGCCCAGTGCTTATTAATTTTATTGAAGAACACATTAATTTCGATCCAGAAGATAACCAACCCATTGCGTCTCTGAGATTATCAAACACTTATACGTATTCTTGTCAACTTAAGAAGAATCAAAATAATCTGGGATATATTTTTCTCAGGCACATTTATGCATACCCTCTAGTGGCAAGGAGCATGAAGGTCTAGACAGGCGATTGTATTTATGAGCCATTTCTGGCGTTGATTCGAAGTCATGGGGTGGCGTTGGATCTTCGAGAACGTAGCAGCCGACCACCTCTGGATAAGGAGGAGGTGCTTCGTGGACGTCTAAGGTAAAGCAAGAAGAGATTGATGGGCTCTTGGGACCGCTTGCCAGGACGGAATTGGCAATATAGTTTTGTCTGGGCTGGAGTTGAGGGCATGGAGGTGAGAGCATCACTGAAAGCAAAATATTTGTAAATAGTGAAAAGGTGCTATTGTGAAATCTACGTCAAAGGATAAAATACAACATTAAGCCAAGAGGGAGGGAAGGAAAAATTTGATTTTGCCAGTTTACGCCAGAAGAAATCAAGCTGACAAGACAGTTGATTAACTACAACTGGGGTGCAGATAACATGAAATTTTAGAGCTATCCACCGTAATTTGGACAATTTCGACCACAATGATCAAGTGAAACGATAAATGGATAGAAGAAGCATGGTTTTAGGATAATTAAATTAAACCATTATCAGGAGATGTAATCGAAACAACCTAAAAAGTATGAAAATCGGTTGGCCATCTTGTATCTTATTCATTCTCAATGTCGTGCATCTGCGTACAATTTGTTGAGCTTGAATATACACCTGGAATAACACGATTTTAAAAATATGCATATGCAACGAACTACAAAGTAGTGGGGTGATAATTTCTCCCAAATATATGCAAAAGCTTCCTATTAATTCCAGAATAAATAAGTTCAAGCGCTAGACTTTTAGGAAAATTCCCTTATTTCTACAGTGTGTAGAAAGAAAAATGATGCATATTATACATCAGAATGGTGCCCTATGGAAGCTAATTTTATTCATGGCTAAAATACACTCATATATGAGATTATTTTATCCTATTTAGTTGAATTTTTCCATAATGATATGCGTATACCCTACGTTTCCATTGAATCTCGCATAGCCTTGCTTTCACAGAAGGTATCGAAACGTAAGAATCACTCATATAATAAGAAAATTCAACTACCGTCCCTTTATCACCTTAAGCGAACTAGAGTGAATATATCTGGCATACATGAATTACTGATAGTCTCGAAAACTACTTATAAACATTGTAGATACATTGAGATAACATTGTTGGGGGTAATTTTATTTCTTACAAAGTGCATGAAGAAGATATTCGTAGGTTGATCTCACCAGAAGACGACAGCGTAATCTAGTTGTACTGCAGCCGTTTGGCGTTTATATCATGTTTAGGTTTGTACGAAATGAAAATCTCCCAAACAATATTTACAAAACAAAAAATAAAATAAAATTAAAGTA